CCCATTAATATGTCTGTTGTCATTGTTTTCGCTTAATCTTTACTACCCTGGTTCATTCACCCGCCTATAATTCGGTTGCGGTGTTCTAATACCTGGACAAAGTTACCTTTTTTCTTTGAGATGTAGTCTAGAATACACTGAGTACAACATACAATAACCTCCAAATGCTTGTTTTTGTTAACGTTAACTCTCGATCGAAGGATGCTTAATGTTTCCTCTGCGAATGTTGGCTGCGCATTTCATTTTGGTACGTCAGTACTGATTTGTAGGAACCCTTGCAGAAGATTTAACAATGGTGTCACTCATATGTCAAGTCGGCCTATCTCTAAAGGAAGACATTTTTCCAAAGGCACTTGGCTCGATCATGAGATTAGGATCCTTATGAACAAACGACGCAGCTTGTGAGATAAATTTAGGTATACAAAATTTGTATTTGACTCATCGAACTCCAAGGCGGTAAGGAACATTTGCACACTAACGAAACATGAGAAGCGACACCAGTACGAACTTCGTTTAGCGGAAGAATCCAAGCCCACCTCCAAGCTACTTTGTTCGTATCTGGAAGGAGTACAAAAGCCGTGTATGGGATATCTGCTCTGCATTCTAGCAAGAACAATAACATACCTAATGAGGACGATGCTAAAGATGATCTTCTGGCACTGCATTATTCTTTCGTCCTTTCCACCGAGGCTCCATTGTTCAGTGACTATCACCATACCCCTCTACACTAGGACATATAGAAATCAGTTGCGACTTACTTTTGAAATTACTTATTGAATTAAATCCGAATTCTTCACCTGACCTTGATTATTTGCACCCTTTGTTCTTCGAGACGGTGGCCCAGCATATTGCTTCTCCCGTTTGCCAAGTTTGTCGGCGCTCCCTAGATGCCTGACGTCTCCCGAGGGCTTGGAAAGTTGGTACTACGAGGTCAATGTACAGGGGAATAGATCATCAGCACTACAGATTATCGGCCGATCTTTTGACCTTGGTAATTTGTAAGGTCATGGAAAGAATTCTTAAGCCAGCCCTAAATCTTCGCCTGGAGTACCTGCAACTCCTCTCATGCGCTCAACAGGATTTTCTAAGAGCACGGTCCTTTGTCTCTAGCTTACTTCTTTCCAGCGTATGGTTGGCGCCATCTGGTTTCGGATTTTGCTATCACTGTGGCTAGCCACAGGACGCTTGTGCCTACAGAGGGATCATGAATGGCTTGCGCTGCAGCACCCACAGCTCCAATCACACAACCCATATTCGGTGTTAACCCCAAGGAATAAGGCCGGGAGGCATATGGAAAGTAGCTATGTTCCAGCAACGGAACCGGCCCATACTCCTTCACAGGCAAACACAAGCACGCTGTGTTTGAGAATTAATCGCACACAAGGCGGTGGCGGGACCGCAGTCCGCTCCACACTGAGTGCGTGCAACCACTCATTGAGCCTAGCGCGGCCAAAAGGACCGTGCACCCCGTCCACTCCAGCAACGACCAACTGTCTCCTGGAGCCAGTATAGACGAGGTATTGGGTAATAGACAGGTAGGCATTCTGTCAACATGCATATCAAACGCAGCTGCACCGGGAGTATCAAGCAACAACCAAGCACTTCCAACGACAAGATCAACTTAATATAATCGAATAACCCACATATACAGTGACATCACTCTTCAATAAATGAGCATATGAATTAATTTGTGTACGAAAAAATCCGCGATAATATCAAGACGTCGGAAAATATATTTTAAGAGAATACCACAAACACGAAAATGTTCTCAAAATTAACCAAAGTGCTTTAAGGGACGTGTGCGAGTTCAAAGAATATAGTAAAGGTAGACATTTATGTGAGATAAAAAAGCATTGGGACTGTATAGCAAACCCGCCACTTGAAATAAAGATACTCAGCATGCAAGCACGCGCTTAGTAAATCGAATGCAATCAGATGCACAAACAGCCGGGGTGCCCTTTCCAACAAGCCGCATGGCTAAGATGTTGGATCTACTGAAAGAATTTCAGCGAACGGTTACAAGACTTACAAAACATTGTTTGAAATCCCGTTTGGGCAATAAGACTGAGCCTTACTCTGGTGCGATGATTTTCGTTCCCCGGCGATCCATTGAACTATGCTGTGTGTTTCTTTTTTGCACTTTTGGAGCCACTCATCCCAGAGGCCTAATAGACTCAGTTTCCTGGCCCTCCAGATTAGCGATTGGAGTGAGGACTCCTTGTAGTCCACTGCCAAACCCGCTGCCTTGCGGTCAGGTTTTTGGACCAAAAGCTTTGGTTGAGAAACCTTAATCGTTCTCCTATCTAGGCTTGGGCAGCCTGACAGTATCCTGCCCACGCAATCCTCAAACAATTTCTTGGGGATCAGCCAGAAGTCGTTCGGAATTTCAACTACCTAGCCAGTTGTATCTACGCCTGTGGAATTGACGGCGAAGTCACAACTCATATAGCAAAAGGACGATACACTTTTACTAGCCTTCACTACCTATGGCACCGACTTTCCCCCTGACGGGTGGAATGTACAATGCATTCATACGTTCGACCATGCTGTATGGTTATGAAAACTGGCCCATTAGATCAGCCGACATAAGGAGGCTAGTTGTGTTCGGCTACCGGTGCCTTCGCCGTTTGGATCATATCTGGTTGGAGCACGGTGTGAGCAATGAGCGTCTTTGACGCCTAGGTTATGGCACAGAAAGAAGAAGCGTACCGCTCAGCAATGTTATTTCACGCGCCAGGCCCCGATGGCTTAGTCACCTGTTTCGCATAACAACACACCGACTACCGCGACTTGCGTTGTTTGCTCGCCAGAGGTGTGGATGGAAGATGCGATGAATTGGTCATGAGGAATGAAGCCCCTTACTTCGAAGTTGACCTCAGTCGGAGCCTCGGCTCCCTGGTTGGGGTCCGAAAAATGATGAACACGTTTAGCTGGTTACACTTGTTGACATGGCTAGGAGCCGACCACAGTGACGTTTGTGTTGTGAGCTTTTTTGTCCCTCCACCTCTTGCTTTGCCTCCCCTACCAACCACGACCTCATTTTCTAGGCATAACGTACCTGTTTTTGTGGCACAATAGCCGACTGTTAGCTCTCCGGAACGATGCCCATCGGTCACTGGTGACTCAGCCGACGTATCTCTGTTGCATGTTATTTTCTTTTGCTTTGCGGCACAATATCCGAGATGTTTTCTACCTCTAGCTAACACGTGTAATAATGATAATGAAGGGTGACCGCCTTCAGTACTTGGTGTCCAATGATAACATCGCTGTGAGTTCTGAGTCCTCCTAGATCGCCTAGCATGTGCTGCTTAGTCTAGAGATGTTCACCTCCCGATTTGGGTTGACGTTTTCCCCATCGGGACCGGCCAAGTGCGTCTCTTTCACTCACTATTTCGGGCCATCCACTGGAGTTGGTCGACAAATTTGTTTACCTTGGTAGTTATATTAGTATTGGAGGTTCGACCGACAAAATCTTCTTGCACCTCTACGCTAGCGCAGCTTCTGTTGACCTCTGTCACCTTTGGCATCGTTCTCACTTCAGTTTCGTTCTGAAGGGCCGAGCCTACAATATGGTACGAGCAGTTCTGCTGTATGACTGCGAGATTTGACCTATTCGCAAGAGTGATCTTTAGAAGCTGTCTTCGATCATCGCTGTCTACAAAGCGTTTTTGGTGTTCGATGGTAGCATCATCACAATAATGAGGAGATTCATCGGCGAGTTTTCATATCTTACAAACTCCACCGACCGATTGCTAGTATCAATTCACTGCAGAGACTTGTAGGAGTCTGGAGATTCCCCGAGTTGCCTGTGTAAAATTCTAACTAAAACTATTTCATTATGCATCTAGGCGACCGGTGTGGTTTGTTGAACTGCTTGCTGAGTTCGAATGCCTGACTTAATCATCGCCATCTTTGCTTGACGCTAGTTTCGATTTCAACGCGCAGCTGCCCTGTGTGCTGTGCTTTCTCCGTTCCCCTAGCTAGAGCTTCAACGATGTCGTATCTTTTATAGGTAGGCAACAGGGAATCTTTTGCTGTACCAATACAAGTTTCCCTGAACCCGATCTGTCTTCTGAATCGCTCTCCGGGATTCCCGTTAAAACGCTATACGCTAAAGGCTTCGTTGGATTAAGCACGTGCTTCGCATTCCTACCCAGCGGCTACCACGATATGCCCTCTTTTCGAGCTCACGCGATTGCTGTAAGCGAAGCCAAAGAGGCCAGTGTGAAACCTGGATCCATTGTGTTAAAACGCCAACGTCGAAGCTGGCTGTTGCTGGGCGTTCCCGACTCTTTACTAGGGACTCAAGGATCGCGAGTGCGCCTGCTTGCCAACACTACTGGATATGGCGCACTTCCTATGAGACTTCTTCTCTAACTGTCGTTTTCTTTTTCAATCTGTTGTGGCCTTCTATGTATCGCGAACGTGCCGACTTCCAAAACTCAAACCTTCGGCCCAGAACAGAAGTCGAAAGATCTCAACAAGGAACACACTCTTACGAGCAAACAAAACGTGATACATAGGGGACGATTTCATTAGTTTATAAAGTCCTCCTACACTATGATCTTGAAACTGCAAATGTGCAAAGCCGTCCTTGGTTGTTGCAAAGTCACGACCATGAGACAAGCGAATCATCTTCGAGCTGCAATGTTGAACGCTCTGTCCGATGGATTTCGTTAGGTTCTGCGTCCCCTGTGTTTTATAGCACTCAGCCGATTGTATCATAATTGGTCATGTGTTGAATATATATATATATATATATATATATATATATATACCGCTTAACACGGTCTCCTGAGTATTTTCCGGAAAAAACGTAAGCTCATGGTCTCCCCCGTGTTGGGTATTAGCTTAACTGGGGTTGTTGGAAACCATTTACGTCCAACCTGTACGCAACACACATTTCCAAACTATTCACGGGTTATTTCACTGTTTCTCCTTTTTGTGTTTCAGCGTAGAGGACTAAATGCCATGTCGCCGGGGCAATCGTTCTGTTGCTGATGGGTAAGCTTTAATCCTTGCAAGCATATCGCTCGTTTCTGTCCTACCTACCATATATTGTCCACCAGTGTTCTCTAACCGTATTTACATCTCTGAGCATTTCCTAAAGTTACCATCCAGTGTAATGACGGAGATGCGACACATATAAGGGTTGGTATGGGGTCTAAGCAAGCCGCTATTTGTGGATTTCGGATTGACCTTTTGTTGATAGGGGGCGCCATATTCGTTTTTCCACATCATCCCTTCTCATAACTTCCCAGCTTGTGTTCTTTTCTATGCAATACACGCTCTGGTATCACATTTACTTCGGTATCCTATCATTGCTTCGGATGCCATTGAGATGTCCACTACGGATTTCCAATGTGAGTGTTTCTCCTGTATTTTAGTGTTGAAGAATATCCACAGAACCCTATGGACGTTGAGTGATGTGTAAGCTTTTTGCCACCTTTAAAGACGCTCTTCTAGTTTTAACTTGTGAGCACACACCAGTCCCTTCTTTCTAAGACTAGAGCGTTTTGCTGTAGGTCTACGTTTCTTTTTCACATTTAACCATTTGTATCCTTCTGATCTTATACATTTAAGGTACTTCGTTTACTAACCATAGGAATCACGGTGAGTCAGATGCCTAGGCTCTCAGCTACGTAATGCTTCCTGCCATACTACTACCTAAACGTTTTTGTACCTAGTAGAATTATTTTTCACCTGTTTTACCTCTGTGGTTCATTTGGTCACGCCTAACGACTCTTTCCATATATCACAAGACACTTACCAGGCAGGTCAATAATTAAGAATCCCCATAGTCCGGTCTCAGAATCCACTTCGGATGTCAGGAGAAACCGATCCCCCACTTCTTTCAAATCTGAGTCATGAGCGAAAACAGCCTACGAGTTACAGATTCGCAGCATAAAACATGGACGTCACATTTTGTCCTTTACAGTGAGAGAGCGCCACTCGATTTTCAATGGTTTACTCTCACCCGTCCCAAGCCAGACAGTTTCTGGTCGAAAAGGTACTAACTCGCCAGCTCCCCACCTGCTGCTGGACATGGTTGCTGGTACGTAACATATTACAATCGATCAACCAATCTCCCATTTCGGTATCTCAATGCTATGAACTGATGCTTTGCTACCGTGCAAAATGACCTATGAGATCCAGGCTGTAGTAGAGAGAAGAGGAACCTAGTGTGGGGCCTAATTCCCCTAAGAAATGACACAGACTCAAGGCGTTTGCACATTGCTAGCAACAAAGTGTGTCACAAACAGCTGGCTTTCGTGCGAGGATGAGGCTACACTATTGAGACAGCTTTCTTGCTGGCTTCACTGCCTCGCGTCCTAAGCAACTTTACTCTACAGACAGCTCGGCATCAAGCGCATTGTGACCAGAGTCCGAATAGGAGACGACAGCATACAACCTCCCCAATGCTTTGTGGATCAGACTGTTGGGCCAAACGCTAGAGGTAGGATACCTCGAACGAAGCGTCTCTGAATGGACAGCCGGGAGAGTAACATCTGCTCACATGACACCGCTACTCACATTTTCCCCTTTCCCTTTTTTTCTCGCTAATCGTCTTTTCGTGTTTACTAGCAAGAGCCTGCTGCGGACTCCATCAGCCATGCCACCAACGAAGCCGAGCCATTTTCAAACCTAGGCTACCCGCCTAACGTTCAACCGTCCAGCCTCAGTGAAGTGCTCAACCTCGGTGCCTCTTGGTAAAGTTTATTTACAATGCTCGACGAAGAATTGTCTGTCTGAACTGCAACATCAGTTGACATTGTCGGACGAAGTTGGTGAATCGAATGTTGACTGCAATTACGTTCAATGCGCAATGCGATAAACACTCGAGGCCACTTACATTGTCGGATCAAAGCGTTTGAATAATGGATGGATATTTGGAGCTTCGTTTAGCTTACTTGAACCATGGATTGTGGTTCCATCGAGACGGCATTTTCATAGTGACCGTAACGTTGCGAAGCTACGCGTGGTTAAGAGTATGTGGTTCGACGAAGAGCGTTGGTGGGTGGCGAAGGCCCGTGAACTGAAGGTCAGTGTCGTTGGAAATGCGTTTATCCTGTCCCAGGTTATGTGACCCAGAGGTCCAAGACAATCTGGCGCGGGTGAAACAATAACTGAAAATATAGACAACTGCTTCGCCTCCAATCACATCGGTTAGAAAGTTATACAGAAAATTTTGATGGTAATGGAGTTGGTCTGGTGCATCAGAATTGCTTGTTGGATCACTCGATTCTTTCTGGGGCATTGGGGTAACAAGTCCCACCGTCTTCAAGAGTCAACCCGAACTAGTGCTATTGAAGCGGAACAAAGCACCTCGTCCAGGTGACCTGTAACCATCGTACCTGAAGACGGTATTGCGAGCAGCAACTGCCTTGTATTCTTTATTCTTTACTATCTTCCCTAGTGAGGTACCCTGAGAGTGATCGACCATCATCCCCGACATGAAAAAGCCAAAGTACGTCTCACGGAAATCATGGTGGACTCACCTCAGTCTCAGTAGCCACTCGACCGCTGACCTACATCATGCAGCAACGGTTCACCGATTCCAGTAGGAAATAAATCATGGAAAATCAAGCTGGCTTACGCCTCGACATAAGTGCTGTGATCACATTTTCAACCTCCACTAGGTCACCATTCTTACAATTAGCCTATCATACTAGCTTATCTTAACCCGACGACTGTCTCTGATTCTGTTGACTGCACCTGTTCGTGGCCGTATCTGTCCTCGAGGGATTCCTTTTTACTCCGAAATCACTGCACCACGACTCCCCTTGCCTTGCAAAAGTCTACAAGAAATTCCTTCCTCCCGAGTTCGCCACAACAAGTAGTGTGCGTCTAGGCTGTTCCATTTCTGTACTCCTCTGTGATCGAAGTGACCATGAATAATGACCTTTCTGCTTCCATCCAGCTCTTCTGGTGTCTAAGTTCTTTTGGACGTTTGGATCTCAAATATGGGTTATTCGGATGACATAACTCATTGCGTCGGAAATGACTCCTGTGTAGGCACTACTGATTGGGCTGACGCATCTATCTGCACTCGTCGGCGTGTGCTTTGCGTCTTCAAAGTGCATTGTGTTATTACAGGAGACTGGGCCGACTAACCACCGGTTCTCACTATCGCTGAACCGCTCGAGACTGTCGATCGGTTAACTTTTCTGGGCACTCGCAGTACCACCGGCGGTCAAATAACCGAATAGGCCACTGCACGTATTGCTAAATCTCGTGCAGCTTTTCAAGACATTGGGCACTTGTGCAACCGGTGAGATTTGGGCGTTGTAGTTAAAGGAAGGGTTTTATTATCACCAACAGAAGTACCTCAGTCATTTGAACTGATGCTTCGCTGCTATACAACCACGAACAAAAAATAATGCTAGGGAGAGAAGTGGGACTTACCGACAAACCTTAATACCCTGCGCGAACATTCAGAGCCAAAGCGCCTAAACCTTGTCAACTACATACCATCACAAGCAGTTGGTTGCAGTACAAAAAGAGGACGGCATGGGCGAGACAGATATTTTGCGGCCTTCTCTGCCATGCGTCATAATCAGTCATTATCCCCGCAAATTACTCAGCACCAAACACACCTCAAACAAGCAGGCCAACTACGAGATGTCAGCAGACGCGCCACTGGTGCGGACTGTGAGCCATGTGCTATAACTTCTCGAGCCAAGCACAAGGCGGTCACGTGGACTCCAGCCTGGAAGGCGAGACCGACGGAGGGCACCAACTTTTGTAGTCAGTGGCTTCATTTTCCCCTGTCAAGTTACTTTTTGCCCACCTCGAACCTTATGCCACTATATATCTCGGAAACATGACAAGATCCCCCTGGTAAGCGCTGTCAAGGCTTGCGTAGTACGTGGTCAAGCCAACGCGACTTATACAATGCTGTCCGTCGCCTACGCACATCATCGTTGCGGACACGCTGTTGTCAATCGACAGCAGCACAGCCATACCAAATACTTGAAGTCGCGTCAGACCCTTAGATCGAAGGTGCCAAGTCTCTCCCATAGAGTAAGACGGCCCTCACTGTGAGCTTGTAAACACGGCCTCTCAAATGGAGAGAAACCCGTTTCTGACGTCACATATTTCGCATATAAGCGATACGCGAACTGACTTCGTTGCTTATGCAGCTTCCAGGGTAAGTGAATTGATCAACTACCACGAGTTCTTCCTTACCAGTCGTCAAAGGATCACCAAGTGACTATTAGACCTGCAACCTTACTTTGCATCTCGAAGGTGCGGAGCTCATGCGAAATGATTGGGCCACACTAGGGTGGTTATTCAGAATTTACTGGGCCACCCCAACATTTGCTACACAGCAAAACAACATTGTCCATATAATCGCGATCAACTAGCTTTCACCAGACAGCACCTCGACGCATGCATCTTGAGATTTCTGTAGGGATCACTCCATGGTGAAGTCCGCGACAAAGCTGAAGAGGAATGGGGAAATTTGGCAACTTTGATGAACGCCACTTGTTTCGGTACGTTCATCCTTTACAACTACCTTCTCTAACGGGCAATGTCACTCAACAGTTTGGTTAACACCCGAGCCGGTTATGTTGTAATGTCCGACTTCTGTCTGCTACTTTTTCTCTTTTTACCTTACCTACCATGTGCAGCTCAGCCGTGAGATATCTATTTGATTATGCAAACAACCTAGTAATCATTTCCCCAACCCACTTTGACACTAACACCATCTAATCTCTGCCACGTAAACGTTTGAGTCCGATGAGTGTTTACTCGAAAAGAATTCTTAACCCATCACTCATTTGGTCCTGATTTTCTCACTGGAATGGGAATACTTGCAGTAATTGCCTAATGCTTCCGCCTCCTCCATTTCTTAAATTCTACTGGTCCACCAGGCTTCCTTGTCAGCACACAGACTCCACTTTAGTTCGCGTCTAATAGTACGTCTGTTTATATCGTGCTCAGAGCCAGCAGGTAGTTTTCTTCTGGATTCCAATAGGTTCTCCGACCTCTCGAATATC